TTGTAGTGACCAACAGAGCCATTATAGCCTCTGCTGTTACGCAGCATCTGTATGTGGAGTTATCAGAAAGCAGCACAAAGCAGAGCTTCAGTCAGACGTCTCCGTGCTTCAGTCTGTGGCTGGTGTCCCCACCGAGTGTTGTTCCTGCTGTTTGAGGTGGATGAAGCTCCTGAGACGGAGCTGTGAAGGAGCACAAACACCTTCAGACTGTTTCTCACATAAATGGAGCCAGAGTGCAGATGTGTTCCTGATGTTCACTCATTTGATGTTTGGAGGATCAGTGAGTTCAAGTCCACACTGAACCTCTTTAAACAAAGTCCCAGAGCAGCATCCAAAGCTCACTTATTCTACTTTGTATTTTCGAGAGATAATGGAACGGTCTGAATATATATGAAAGACTATATAGGAACAGACACTGTTAAAGTCTAAAAATCTTTCTTACTGAAGCTCATCAGGGAAACAAAGACTTCAGACCCTCCCACTGTCTGCACAGAGATCTGCCAGAGACAGTGGTGCTATTCCACAGAGCTGATTGGTCAGTAGGTGGTGAGTTCATACCTGCTGATCTCTAATCAGTAATATGCAGAACACAGAGAGTGCTGAGGTCTGACCCTGTGAACTCTGGGTCACATTTGACTGAATGTTTAGAGATTTTCATTGTTTTTCAAAGCTCTCACAGAGGACACAGACTGGGCTGCTGTTTCATTTTCCTAAAAGCTGTTTTATTCATTTCTTTTCTTCCCTTGTGTTTCCTTACTTTGATTTACCAGAGAGGAGATTAGTTTGTAAGGGGGTAGAAGCTCCAGCAGCATTTATAATACAAAGACTGAAACATTTCACAAAGAGGTCAGAGCGACTTCAGAGTTATTCCTAAAGACGTCAGCAGATGCAGAGCTGTCTGCAGCTGGTCTGTGTCCAGAGGAATGTGTTTGTAATAACGAACAAACACGACTGCAAGTACTCAGCTTCATGCTTTAGAAGGCCACAGTGATGTGGACTCTTCAGCTGATGCCAAATCTGTGCACGAGGAGGAGGAGATGATCTTAGAGGAGAAACACAGCGCTACGATGGTCACACATCACACAGATTCAGCCTCACTCTGAGAAAACCATCAGACTGACAGCAGCAACTACACCTGCTCCATCAGTGATGGGAGAGCAAAGACTGACAGTCGTTCATTTACAGGTCAAAGGTCAGCAACAAACCCCAGCACCTGCTGTAGATACTGATGCCAGTACTGTAGGCAAAGGTCAGAGGTCATGAGGGGAAGATTTCCTAAATAGACTCCCCAGTAACATGTAGCTGAGAGCTAAGCTCAGTGGAAACAGGATGTCAACAGCTGCAGTCTTTACTGCAGGTGGAGGGCTACACTCACAACACTTACACACTGTACACAGTGGAGAACAGGTGGACGCACAGACGTGCAGCAGAAAGAGTTTCATAGTTTTATCACAGTGTGTGTTCCTGCTGGCAGACAGCTGTAAACAACAACATGAATCTGTCTGTGAGAGTCCAGTCTGGTCACAGGCTCAGCTTCAGTGTGAGATTCTCTCCTTCCTCCTGCGTGATGACTGTTTCATCTGGGAACGACCTCGGGCAGCACTGCTGCATTATCTTGTTTAGATGTTGGGAAGGCCTCCAAACATGATCCACCCACGAGGCCAATGAGCACGAAGGGAAAGGAAATGTTTATCAAAGCAGAAAAACACAACACCATCCTGAGAGTGCAGCCATACTTCTCTCTCTGGGTGAGACACCTCCTGCTCAGCTGTTGCTTAGCAGCCGTGTTTACTCTGGCATGGAAACCAGAAACTGGGTTGTGAGCTGGACTCTGACAAACAGCAGCAGCATCGAGCAGCGTCACCATCAGGTTTCCATAACGCAGCAGAAGCACAACACCTAAAGTCTACCTGGAGGTGGTGCAGATTGTTTCTGTTGCAAGCATCCAGCTCAGCAGCAGCAGTGTTGAATAATGAGAAGGCAGCGTGGCAGCAGTGGTGTCTGCTGCTCCCCGTCTCCAGCAGGCAGCAGTGTGGCAGGATTTCAAACATGGTAACCTAATCAGGTTTGGGGCTCTGCACCTTTAATCAGGCCTACATCGTGTTTACTCTGAGCCCACAGAGTCTCAGGGACTTCCTGCTGTAGCTGCAGCGTCTTCCTCTGATGTTGTGTAAAGTGCTGTTTGTGTGTGTGCACAGCAACAGAGAAGCTTTTGTAGAAAGTCATCTGTGAGCACCTGAGTGTGGTTTCACCTGTAGGTTGTCAGCCAGTGATAAGGCCTTCTTTCCCACTGTGACAGTTACACACGAGGAGCTGAGTTTGACACGTCAAACATGTCACAGTGTGCAGATGTTGTTGTGTTTAGAACAAACGTTCATGCCTGCGCTGCTGTGTGTCAAAGGCATCATCTCCTTCTGTAGATATGTGAGGTACAGTGTGTGTGTGTGTGTGTGTGTGTGTGTGTGTGTGTGTGTGTATGGTGTGTTTCCAGCTGGAAACATACATGTGTGGCTGATTAGAGCCACACATGTGAGTGTCAGGATCACTCCCGTCACTTTTAGCCACTTCTAGGCTGAAAGTTATTGTAAAAAGATGTGAAATGGTTTATTTCACAAGTGTGTGTACAGGGTGTGTGCGATCACGTGAGCTGGAAGTGTGGTAACTTTAACCTCAAGCATCAGTTGAGTGAGTGCAGCTGTGCGTGTTTCCTGCGCCTCCTCCTGCTCATCAGAAAACAGAATGCAGACATCTGTCTTCCTGTCCTTCAGCCAACTGTCCTCCTGCTTGTTTGGCGTCCTATACTGTGTGTGCTGAACTGTTTGTTTTATCTCTTTAAGGAAGGATGAAAGAAATAAAAAGAAACGGGGGGACCTCCAACTTTCTCTCATGATGGGATAGCTGTGGAAATATCCAACAGTTACACTCCAGTGGATGCTCAGAAAACAGCTGCGGGTTATTATCCACCAGCCTTCTTCTAGTAGCTGACCTGCTGCTAAAATCTTGAAAATCTCATTTGCACAAAATTGTCTGTCATTTATGATCCAATCAGCTTCAGTTTCTTCTGTGTCATGTGACATCATCGAACCTGATAAATCTCAAAATCTGATGACAATAAATATACATGAAACTGATCAAGAATTAGTGCGAAATATTTAGAAACGTTGTGACAGGACATGACAGGGAAACTATTTTACGCTGATTATTCTTGCAGAAGTTTCCTTCACTGAGTATCCATCCAATTCTTCTTTGATTATTACATTTGTACACATCTGTGGAAATGTCTCTGGACTCTCCTCAGCAGTAGATTTACAGCTTTAAACAGAGAAACGTTTATTTCCCCAGAGATTGTTCAAATAAAAATCATTATTCTAAACATTAAGATTTAAGATCTATGGTTCCCATGGTAACAGCCTTCACCTCTAAGGCTTGAATAAATGTCTTGGATTGCTCTCAGGATCTGATGAGCTTCAGTCTCCACCAAAAATCTACGGAGCAGAAACTACAAGTAGAATTTATCTGATGTCAGTATCAGGATGAAACTGAGGCCAACCTGGAAATTCTTATTTTCATGTCTTTTCATTTAGTTGAACAAGAAGAATCATTTCTAATGATTTAAATGTTGAAATGAATGTAACAGAGAAATAAATGGATGACTAATGAAAGTGAACTGAAGCTGTGCTGACACACTGAGGACAGACAGGACTCTGCATGCTGCGTTTACTGTCTGCTCAGGACAGCAGAGCACCGCTGCACACAGAAGGGTTACTGTCTGCTGTATTCATCACAGAACACTTCTATCAACACTGTTCACAGTTTATTTCTAATTTTTGTATATGATCATTTCACAATAACCATTTACTGGCTCTTAAAAACTAAGAAATATAGCTGCAGTTTGAAATGAGGTCATACTTATTTTATCAGACATTTGAATATATTTCTCATGTTTTAAATTATAAATAACACTTCTTTAAAAAGGTCCCGGTCAGCTTTCAGAGAGCTCACGCTGGGTCTGTGCAGCTGCACATGGCAGACTGCCACAGATCACCTCTGAGGAAAGAGGAGGTCGTTGAGCTTCCTCATAGGTTCACACCTGTTGATGAACTTTGTGTCGGCCAAAGTTCATCAACAGGTGTGAACCTATTCATTTCTGCTCTTCAATAGAGAAGAGATTTAAACTTTCACAAATTATGCCAATTGCAAAGCACTGAGTAAAATGTTGGGACACACCTTCTCATGTTTTTCTAGGCTTCTTACCGCCTCCTCTATGCTTCATGATGGGAACCATGCATGTAGAAACCATCTGTTCATATTTTCTGTGTCGCACAAAAACACCTGAGTTGATGTGAAGACTGAAGGTTTCTACTGGTTGGGTTTGATTCTCATCCAGGTGTCTCTGGAACAGAAACCTGGGACCCTACAGAGTGCAATGATAGGTTACTACTACTTGCAGCATGCATACAAAATATAGTTAGGTACATACTGCATATGACTCCGTGGTTTCTTAAAGTTCCCGTAACCATCAAGCTTTCAGTGTATTTCAGTCTCACATATTGAACCGGTTTGAAAGGTTTTACTCTTCAGTTTTTTTTAATCTCGGTTTTGTTTTTACATTTCAGATTTAGTGTGTGGAGCCAAGCCTCATGGCAGACTGCCACAGACAACACCTAAGAAAGGACAGACTGTTGAGTTTCCTCATAGTTTCACACCTGTTGATCAACTTTCTGTCAATCTTCAAATCCCTGCAGCTGTGTCAGCTGATCACTTCCTGTCCTGTGATTGGCTGAGCTTCAGGCCTTCTCTCAGTCAAACTGGAAACAGGGATTGAGACAGTGTGAGGGTTTGTGGAGTGCCACAGTGCTGTAATGAATACTGTAGTGGAAGAAGTTCTTTCACACTCTTCATCCTGGAGCTGCTTTATGTCCATGATCTGCATGGAAACACATCTATGGAGAGGAAATCCAGCTGCTGAGGGTCACATCTGCATCATTGTAGCTACAGTGGATGTTTGTCTGTGATCAAACATGAAGATGTTTGTGGTGTTTGTGATCCTCCTGCACGGTAAGTACACCTTCCTCTCTCTGCTCTCATCATCAGCTTTTCTTTCATCTCTCTCTCTTTAATGTGTTGAAGTGCAGCAGGAGGAGATTTCCATCAAACACTGGATTCTGATTCAGATCAAACTAACAATCCAAAGCAGCAACTTTCAAATCTCTGGATTCTTCTTGGTGCCTTTCAGATGAGCTCATGTTACAATCAGCTGCTGTGTGTGTTGTTGTGTAGCTGAAGCTCGGACTCCTTCATAGCTCGGGTCCTCTACCAGAGGCCTGGAGCTTGAGGGTCCTGCGCAGTATCTTAGCTGTTTCCAGGACTGCGCTCTTCTGGACAGAGATCTCCGCTGTTGTTCCTGGGATCTGCTTGGGGCCACACACCTAGCTTGGGAGTCACCAGATCTACTCCTTCTATTACCACTGGGAGCATTGTTACCTTCACCCTCCACATCTTCTTGAGCTCTTCTCTGAGCCCTTGGTACTTCTCAGGCTTTTCGTGTACCTGGAAGTCCCAGAGGATCTTAGCTTGGTCATTCGCCACCACCCATGGGGTCGTCTCCCATTTTGACCTCGGGATTTCCAGGCTGTACTCATCACAGATATTTCATCAGCTTGATGTCATCCATGTAGAGGAGGTGGCTGATGATTGCGCCACTCTGTAGTCGGTATCCACAGCCCATCTTGTGTCTTGTCACTGATCTCACTGAGGGAGTTTAGGCCTTTGCAGAACACCAGTGGACAGAGCGTCTCCTTGGTAGATCCCACACTTGATGGTAACTTGTATTATTTCCTTGAAGTTGGCCTCTCGTGTTGTTTGCCACATTCCCACTGAATTCCTCATACTCTTAGGGTCCTGTTAATCTTGTGCAGTTGTAGGCATTCCTGGATCAAAGTGTGGGGCACTGAGTCATAGGCTTTCTTGTAGTCAATCCAGGTTTTGCACAGGTTTGTCATTCTGGTGTTACAGTCCCGAATGACTGCTCTATCTTCCAGCTGCTGGTGTTTCAGTCCTCTGGTATTCTTGCCAGTCCCTTTCTGTGGCCCGCTCATGTACTGAGCCATGTGCCTGTTCATCTTAGCCGCTATGATGCCTGACAGGAGCTTCCATGTAGTATGTAGTACTGAGGCAGGTTATTGGCTGGTAGTTGGATGGGACCAGTCCCTTCTGGTGATCCTTGGGGACGGTCTGGCCTTCAGTTAGCCAGCCACTCAGGGAGTGTCTGCATGAATCATGACAAGGCTTGATGCTCTCTGATTCTTCATGTTGGATAGCCTTTCCTGGTTGCCTGCCACAGTGATGGTTACTTGTCACATGTATGGGCAGCTTGCTGTATTTGTTAGCCATCTTTTTTTTCATCATGCCCTTCTGCCGCTCAGATAGTTGGCTAACTTCCCTCCTTGCTGCCTGGATCTTGGGCTCTACTCTCCTTCTACCTGGAGGGTACTGCTACTTTTGGCTGTTCATCTTATAGCTAAAAATCTCATTGATCACTGCCACGTGACATCCAGGCTTCCCCTCTCCACAATCCTTGTGCTCTATCTTACCAGTAGCTGTGATAGCAGTTGCTTCTTCCAGATGTTGGAATGCAGAACTACTGGTTACTTCGTTGTTGGTCTAAATGTTGGCTGTTCCATATGTCCTATATCCTTTTCACATAACCCTTTCCACTGGTTTTACTTGCATAGTAGCATTCCCAAAACCTCCCTATTCTCATCTCTTGTTCAAAAAAAGTCTATTAGTGTCTGATAAATATTCAAAATCAGTAGTTTATGTATCAGCCCTTCTTCACAACTGGTAACACCATACATCGTCAGAGAATAGCATTTTTGTGCATTAACTGATGTTTGTATGATTAACTGCTTGCTCAGCAAAAACTAAGTCATTAATTTTAAGCAGAGTTTAATAATTTAGTTTAAAGGCAATGAAGTGAAGATGCTGCTGAGTTTACAGAATAATGTAGGCAGACCAGGAACCGAGACCTCTGCCATTTTCTGCAGATAACCCGCAGAAAATGGTTGGATGGATACCTGGTCATTTCTTTGTGTTTAGGTTGTATTTGAGTGACACTTGTCTCTCTGGTGTCTGCAGTTGTGTGTTGGAGACCAGCTTTTGCATGCTGGGGCAAACTTTCTTTGTCCTTGTGTGTCCTTCCAGCTTTCCAGCACGTTTTTGCTGTGGTCGTGGAGGTGAATGAAGGTGCACTTTCCGTCTTGCTGCCTTGCCAGTACACAGGTGTCATGCCTGAGGACCCTATGTTGATGTGGACTCGCAGTGATATTGATCCAAAATTTGTCCATGTGCAAGAAGAAGAAGGTCCAAATCTTGAAGAGCGAAACCAGCGTTACAGTGGACGTACATCAGTGAGGCCTGATGGTCTGGAAATGAAAGACTTCAGCCTCACTTTGACAAAACCCAAACTGACTGATAGTGGCAACTACACCTGCTCCATCAGTAATGGAAGGAATGAACGAAAACTGACAGACGTACAGCTGCATGTCAAAGGTCAGCAGTCCAGTCTAACATCTTAAATAATAAAGCTGAATTATTTCTTCAGAATCTGAGAAGTAGCAGCAGAAATATGCAAACAGCTAAGAAACCAGGAAGGGGGAAAGTGTTTGGAGATGTCCAACGGCTTTATACGTCATACTGTTAAAAATAATTTTCATACAGTTGTGCTTCTTTTTACAGTTATTTTAATCTTTCCAGTTATTTTTTAAGCCTCTTAAATGTTTGAGTATGTATAAAAATGACTTATTGATAAACAGTTAATGAAAATGTTGTTATATCTGTAGACTCCAATTACTCCATCATATTTATTACAAAGATTTAAAATATGATTTTTGTCCAACAGATGATGGAACTCACTGTAGATATCCAGAGCAGATGACTGTTATCAGTACCAAAGTATGACTGCTGCTGCTTTCCTAGTTATATTGGTTTCTTGTCCTCTCAGACCAGCAGGTGGAGGTGAAGGTGGAGGAAGGGTCAGACTCTGTCATCCTGCCCTGCAAAACAACACCTGACCTGCCTGAGGACACCACAGTGGAGTGGACTCGCTCTGACCGAGAACTCATGATGATCCATGTGTATCCAAACAGAAGTGACCACCTTAAGAACCAGGACGACCTTTACTGTGGTCGCACGAAGATGAACGAAGACCTGCTGAGAACTGGAGACCTCAGTCTGACCCTGAAATACCCCACAGAGAGAGACAGTGGAGGATACATCTGCACCATCTACAGGGACAAAGACATCCTGAGACAGAAAGTAGTGCTGCAGGTCAAAGGTCAGATGTAGATAAAACAGAGGTCCGTGGTAAAAATGATAATTCAAAAGTCATATCTTTCTTTTCTTTTCTTTACCTTTGTTTATTTCTCCACAGATCAATTTCCAGCTTGGGCAGCAGCTGTCGTGGTCCTCCTGGTTCTCCTTCTTCTCCTGATTCTTGTTGTTGTTTCTGGAGGTCTTTTATTTCATTTCCGGCACTATTTCATGCCAGGTGAGCTTCAGATGTTCAGACACATGAGATCTTCATGGTTTCTGTGCTGATGTGTGTGAGACATGGCCGACTGTGGAGGCTCAGTCTGTCTGTGCTTCTTCATCCAACATGTCTGCAGCACTTTACAGGACGCTGCAGACTAGTTACCAAAGAACGAGTCAGGAACACATCAGGAACAAACTGAGACACAATCTGACTGAGACTAGAAGACAAGGAAGGATAGGGAGGTCATGTGACCATCACAGCTGCTGCTGACCATGTTGTGTCTTGTTTTCCTCTCAGATTACAAGGTGGAGGTGGATTCAGGGGTGGACTCTGTCCTGCTGCCCTGCAAAACCACAGTTCGCCTGACTGAAGACACCAAAGTTGAGTGGACAAATATTAGTGGGAAGGTCCACGTGTACCAAAACGGCTCTGACCGGCCTGAAGAACAGAACAGTTGTTATCGAGACCGCACGAAAATGAAGAAAAATCTGCTGAAACCTGGAGACCTCACTCTGACCCTGAAACACCCCACAGACAAAGACTCAAACACCTACACCTGCACCGTCTACAGCAGGGAGGGAAGCATCCTGATGAGGAAACAAGTGGTGCTCCATGTCAGAGGTCAGCCTCATCACTATGATGGGTTCATTAGCAGTGAGGCAGCTATGTCAGTCCTCATAGATGAGGAGTAGTAGTAGTACTACTACTAGTACTACTACTAGTACTACTACTAGTAGTAGTACTAGTAGTAGCAGTAGTATTATTTAAAAGTAAAATAGGAAACAACCAGCCTCTACTTTCAAGATTAGGCTTAAACCTTTCCTTTCTGATAACGCTGGATCAGGTGACCCTGAATCCCTCCTTCGTCCTGGTTTCATCTGATGTGCTTAGAGCTTTTCCACTTGTTTCACTCCCACTGGAATCAGTCAAATATGTTTTCACTATAAGTATTTCACTTCATCTGATTAAAGACGATGTGCTCAGTGCTGCTGCTGTCTGTCCGGCTCATGCTGTCTTTGTTGTTCTCTCAGTCCTGCAGGTGGAGGTCGAATCAGGGGTGGAGTCTGTCCAGCTGCCCTGCAAAACTACAGCTCATCTGCCTGAAAATTGTAAAGTGGAGTGGATGGATGGTGATGAAGATGAGGTCCATGTGTATCAGAACGGCTCTGACCAGCCTGAACAACAGGACCAGGTTTACAGAGACCGAACGAAGATGAATGAAGACCTGCTGAAAACTGGAGACCTCAGTCTGACCCTGAAACACCCCACAGATGAGACAACAGGACCTACACCTGCACCGTCTACAGCAGGGAGGGAAACATCCTGCTGAAGAAACAAGTGGAGCTGAAAGTCAGAGGTCAGTGTTGTACATACAGTCAAAGGTCAGAGGTCATAATGAATATATATTTTTTGTTTATGTAAACTTTTTGTGTGGACTCAGCACATTGTGCCAGTTCGTGACATGCCAGGGAACTGAAGGCTGTCAGTATCCGTCGAGCAATGACAGCTCGGTGAATGGCTGGACGGGCCCCGTGGGTCAAGGCCTGAGCAGGTTACGTGTTCTCAGATGAGCAGTGGTGTGCCTCATTCAGTCCAGGTTTCTAGACTTCTGCTGTCATCAATATGCATATTGTGGAGATGAGGGAAATATTTTACTGCTACTATTCATAACCATCATCATTACCATTACATTAATTATCATTTCATCAAAGCATTTATTCAATAGATTACACATGTTCTTAGTTAAGATTATTACACCTATCACAGAGAGCTTCTGTCTGGTAAAAGGCCAGAAGCACCAACGGGCGGGGTGAGGCTGAGTGCGTTGGAGGTCGAGACACACACACAAACAGTAGTTAGAGTCATGTTTAGGTAAGAGTTCAAATAATAGTTTGCAAAAGCTTGTGACTGCAAAATTGTGTGCCTGTGCAGTTTTGGGCGGAGATCGATGCTGTGGTGCAGTGTTCATCTCCCACGCGTGTGTTCATTAAAATCATTGTTTGACCGAAGCTCTTCTGGACCATTATTGTTGTTGTGCTCTCCCTCAACATTTGAACCCGTTTTTAACAATATCTTATAAACTGCTCTTAGTCTGGCCCCTCACCAGTCTCTCGTAGTTTCCCTGAACCACCTTCCTTGGTTCAAGAAAACATTACATTTAACATTTCCTGCAATGGACACCTTGACTCACCTTCAAAGAAAGCTTTGACTCTGACCAGTTGACAGTCACACTGTTCTTTAAGAAGCAGCCAGATCTGCTCAGGATAAAACAGACAGAAAATGACAATTCTGTCTCCATCATCATCTGTTACTGTCTGTGCAGCTCATGTTGCGTTTATTGTCCTCTTAGTCTGTCAGGTGGAGGTGGATTCAGGGGTGGAGTCTGTCCAGCTGCCCTTCAACACCACACTTCACCTGCCTGAAGACGCTAAAGTGGAGTGGATGGACATGATACGATAAGGTCCACGTGTATGAGAACGGCTCTGACCAGCCTGAAGAACAGCACCAGGTTTACAGAGACCGAACGAAGATGAATGAAGACCTGCTGAAAACTGGAGACCTCAGTCTGACCCTGAAACAGCCCACAGGCTGTGACACAAACACCTACACCTGCACCGTCTACAGCAGGGAGGGAAACATCCTGCTGAAGAAACAGGTGGAGCTGAAACTTAGAGGTCAGTGCTGTGGACACAGGTCAAAGGTCAGATGTTGTAATCTTCTTATCTGTTTCCTGTCAGTTAAATAGTTGTGATCAGTACTGATGAGAAGTTAAAGGTCACATGGTAAAAGGAAGTCCATCACAGACAGTGGGTAACATCTCTGTTATGGACAAAGAGTCATCAGACATTCCTGTCCGTACAGCTGACAGCATGAAGCTGTTTGTAGAGCTCTCACACCAGTTAAAGAGCCAGTCCAGCTGTGACAGCCAGATGTTACTGCAGCCAAATACACATACATGAAAGGATCAGGTGCAAATATGTGGAGGGAAATTCACACTTTATCTCCACATGTTATCACAAGACTAGTTTAAAAAACATTTTTATAAAGAAGTGACCAAATTCAAAATGCAACAGGAGAACTGAGACACGGTAACTGCTTCTCAGAACAAAGGACTAATAAATCTAATCAGTGTTTCTTGATCTTAGTGTGATGTTCTAAGAAAAATAAGCAACAAGTCTTCTCAGTGATGACTCCTCAAAGATCTCCTGTTACCTTCTGATCGGATCTGCTTCTTTCCTTTAGCTTTCTCTACAACTGTGACACCTGCTGCTCTCTGTACAGCTCATGTTGTGTTTGTTGTCCTCTCAGTCTGTCAGGTGGAGGTGGAGGAGGGGGTGGAGTCTGTCCAGCTGCCCTTCAAAACCACACAAAACCTGCCTGAAGATGCTGAGGTGGAGTGGAAGAACGGGTTTTACAGGAAGGTCCACATATATCGGAACGGCTCTGACCAGCCTGAAGAACAGAACCAGGTTTACAGAGACCGAACGAAGATGAATGAAGACCTGCTGAAAACTGGAGACCTCAGTCTGACCCTGAAACACCCCACAGAGAGAGACAGTGGAGGATACAGCTGTGTGGTTAGAAGGAAGGGAAACATCCACAGAGGCAAAACTGTGCTGCTGAAAATCAAAGGTTTGTTGGTTTGTTTGTTTTTTGTTTATTTATTTTTCCCTCTCTGACTGTCTTGTGTCTCCTCTGCAGGGAGAGTTCAGGTCCAGGATCAAACAGGGGACATCAGGAACAGAAGCAGCTCCATTGATCCGACTCCTCTGATGGCTGATCAATCAGTTTGATCTGTGTGTTCTTTGATTATTGATCAGTGATGTCAGAGTGGAGTCAGTGTGATGTTGTTGTTGTGTGTTTGAGACTTTTAGTGTCCATGAAGGTCTCTGCTGCCGTAGATCCTCTGAACTGTGACAGAGGTCTCACTCTGGAGGAAACTCTCAGCACTTTCCAGCAGCTCCTCCATCATGGAGGACGTTCCCTCACTGTAACAGGTGGAGGAGAGAGGAGAGGAAGCACAGGTGGATCCTCTGAGGAAGAGGAGCGTCCTACAAACCACATGATCACATGACCAGAGGACAAGCATGTGCAGAAACACATTAAAGTCAGCCTGTAAACACGTTTGTGTAAATTCTACTGTAGATACAGGCACAGACTCATCTGTGGTGCAGCTGAAGACATTTGAGTCATGTTGTGTTTGCAGAACATGAACATATCAGGAAAGACTTCTTTGTCTCTGCTGCCTTGAGAAAACCTGGAGGAAACAGTTGGTTATCAACCGTCTCCGTTAAACTTCATGTCCTGTTACTTTTTTCAGCTCTAAATCTTTGTGAAATCCACACACTGCAGTCAGAGACGTTATCAGAAGATAATGATGGTAAAATAATCAATAATCTGTAAAGAAGATCATGAATATACCAGTAAAATGCAACACTGATGTAAACAATGCTGCAGATGTTTTTGTTTAGCCTGGTGACTCAGAACACAGAGCCATGAATAAGTTCATGACTTTAGCTTGAGCTCAGTGATGCTGGTTATCTCTGAGCTGCACTTTACACTGAAACATGGTCACACTCAGAGTTCAGAGTTTAAATTTTGTAACCTGTCCCATTAAAAATTATGATGCTCGAACGTTCGTCTTCTCTGGTTTCTGGAAGTTATTTTAAAATCATCAGTGATAACTGTTTGCTCCTGAACAGAGTTCATCCTGAACATAATCCGATCACACAGGAAGCAGAACCGAGCTTCTGTGTGAGGGACGTTTGCTCGGAGTCATCGTGGTGATTCGAGCTGCCACAGGAAGTGCAGCTCTGCAGTTTCCTGAGTGATTGTTGTGTCAGAGGTGACAGCCTCACTGTGACTGTTTAACTCTGTGTTTAGTGTTTGTGGTGAACATGTTTGTCCTTTTAGCTTTGGACGAAATCTTTTTATGTGATGTGAGACTGTTGAGCACTTTTTACTTTCTGTGTTTGGTTACTGAAGGACGAGCCAGCAGCGGTGTGGCCTCCCTGCTGGTGCTTTCCTCCCTCCATGTTTCCTTTACTGTGCAGCTCCGAGTGTGACGCTGAAGTGTTTTGTGTTCCTGCTGAGTTACTGCTCCATCCAGCCTCTTTACTTTCTGTGATTTAATGCTGATTTGTGGCCAACATGGTGCTGCAGTCTTTTTGTGTGTTGTGTTTGTTTTATTGCACTGCATATCTTTTAGATAAAGTATTCATATTATTGAAACCGTCTCTTTTGTCTGTGTGTATTTTGCAAACTTGTGTAATTTATATTATTGAAATATTAAATCTTTCCTTGGATGACATCTAAACACCCGTGACCCCTCTGACCACACCAGGGCCGCAGCTTTCACCTCTTCCTGTCTCTCTGCAGCTCTGTGTTCATGTTCGTGTTTACAGAGATATTTCTGCCTAATCAGTGATTCAATCACGCAGGCTTTTATTTGTTTTATGAAGGAATGAATTGTCTAATTCAGTTCATACAAACACGTTACATGTTACACTTTTTCCTCACCCTCTGACATCCACACTGTGATGCATCACAGAGCAACTTGGAGTTAGTGTCTTGCTGAAAGATATTTGGGATGCACACTGCAGGGTGTGAACCACCAGCCTTCCGAATAGCAGAGGACCTGCTCCACCACCTGAGCTACACCCCAACAGTGAGTCACATTCAGTGTGAGCAGCCAAACATGATGGCAGACTGCCACAGATCACTGCTGAGGAAAGAGGAGGCGTTCAGCTTCCTCATAGTTCCACACCTGCATGAAGCAGCCTCACCCTGACAGCTTCAAATCACTGTGTCAGCTGATCACTTCCTGTCCTGTGATTGGCTGAGCTTCAGGCCTTCTCTCAGTCAAACTGGAAACAGGGATTGAGACAGTGTGAGGGTTTGTGGAGTGCCACAGTGCTGTAATGAATACTGTAGTGGAAGAAGTTCTTTCACACTCTTCATCCTGGAGCTGCTTTATGTCCATGATCTGCATGGAAACACATCTATGGAGAGGAAATCCAGCTGCTGAGGGTCACATCTGCATCATTGTAGCTACAGTGGATGTTTCAGCGTCAGGACTGAAGGCGGAGCTTTGTGCGTGTCAGGGTGAGGCCGCAGCAGCCGCCTCCAACCGGAGCGCTCGGGCGTGAAACTAGGAGGAAAGCCGACGTCCTCCTCTTTCCTCAGAAGTGATCTGTGGCCGGCCGGACTTCATTCCACAGATGTGCTTTAACAAAGTGTGAAGCTGAACTCTGAGCTGTGACAGTGAAGCAGTGTGAGAGTGTCAGTAGATGATCAGCAGAGGAAAGTGAAGCTGCTGTGAGCTGATGTCCTGAAGGGCT